GATAGGTGGATTCGGCAGCGGGATCTCGACACTACCCGCATCCAAGTTAACTGTTGGTGGGTCAACCTGGTACAGCTGCTCAAAATACTCAGCCCAACGTCCCCGCACCGCAACAGGATCTGAAACGATCTGACCACTTACTGAGCGAACTGCTGTCACCTGTGAAGAGGGCTTGGAGTTCAGCTTTCTCAGGGCTTGGTATGCAGGACGAAGGTCATTTACTAAGAAATGGCCTTCTACCTCCTCTGCAAGACTCCTAATAAACTGTTCCTTGTCCCTTCTTAACAGGGACCGAGTTCTGCGCACATGAGAACGGTGCAATTCCCGATCCCCTGTCAGACGAGCCGCACGACATGCATCTGTGGCTTCCAGTGTCTCCCGCGAGATGGAATTCTGTACTGCTCTCGGGCGTACACCAATCGTATCTTGAGCTGCATCAAGCGTTTCACGCTTAAAGGTATCCCACAGAAGAACAGGGTCTGTCAGACTGCCAAGCACTGCGAAACGATCAGAGATTGCCTCAGCAAACCCGCGGGCACACTCCCCCTCCCTCAGCCTGTCCAAATGAAACACCCTAGGGTGATCATTTGACCGCTGGGGGGTTTTGAAGTGGACCCGGAGGGTAGCCACAACCAATCTATGGTCAGTACCACAGAACTCAGCACTCCTGTACACCCTGCAATTCTGAAGGATCCTCCAACGAGTGCTAACAAGTATGTGGTCGATCTCCTTGGCTGCGTTACCCGCATCACTGTACCATGTCCAGCGATGTGGGTCTGGGCGCTGGTACCAGGAGCCAGAAATCCTCAATTTCTGGGACCTAGCAAAGTCCCGGAAAAGGAGGCTATTCTCGCTACCGGCATCAGCTCCTGAACCATGGGGACCGACAGACATCTCATAGCCAGCTCGATCACAGCCAGATACCGCATTGAAGTCGCCCAGAACAATGCGAATATCTCGTCGGGACATCTGTCTGCCACAGATGTAAGTTTGGCGTAGAACATCTCTTTCACGTCAAGTTTACAAACATCGGTAGGAGCGTACACAGCAATAAGAGACATGAAGCCAAAAGAAAGCTTCAATCTCAATACCATTATACGCTCATCAACAGGAGTAACCTCTACTACCGAGGGCTGGAGTCTGCTGGAGACGGCAATGGCTACTCCCTGGAGATGGTGGCCATCGCTGCGGCCCGACCAGTAATAGGTGTAGCCACCTACACAGGTCATGCCGCTGCCAGGCCTCCTCACCTCCGAGAGAGCAGCCACCTCAACTCTCAGCCTCCCCAGTTCCCTCGACAGTAGAGGCAACCGATCATCCTGACGCAAAGAACGGACGTTCCAAGCCCCCACCCTAACTTCCCGCCTGAGGTTCAGCCTCTGGCAGTCGCTCCGGGTGGATGCCACCTCTGCCACCCCCACCGACGCTGCCCCATATAAAAGGGGGTGGCGGGCTGCGTGCCCCATCATCCACCTGTGGGGTTCCCGAGGGCTTTCCCCCACAAGCTTCACTCTGGGCTGGCGGCCACCAGAGCGCAGGCGAGACGGGTAGTTCCCGTTCCCAGCCTGCGCTCCAGCAGTCGCCCTCCCAGCAGGGCCCACAGTCCGCCTCACTTGCTGGGTGGGAGGGGCTTTTCCCCTCCTCCCAGCCTCTCCATTTATAGTTTGCACTGCCGATTGGTTTATATCTGGGGGGAGGAGGACTGGCAAGGCCCACCTCCCCCGAGCCTCCCATTAACCCCAGGGGGCTAGGGGGCAGGAGTTGGTACAGGGCCAGGGCGTGTCCACACGCCGGTGGGCCATGGCCCTGAACCTCTGGGGCCTCCTGCTGCTCCGAGATCCCCCTCAGTTTAGCCTGGAACCGCAAGGTACCCAGTTTCCATGGGCGGCCACGAGGAGGCACTGCAGGGAGTCTCGATGATGGAGAGGCTATGCACTGGCATATATATATATATATATATATATATATATATATATATATATATATATATATATATACATATACATACATAATATGCATTTATGTATGTATATGTATATATATACATATATATGCAGAGATATATTTAAAACATTCACTACTACCTTGTATAACAATATAGAGTTAAGGTTTATATGCTTTCGTATTAATAGGGCTACGGCTAAGAAGAGAGAGAGTTCAGGTTTATCTTTCGTATGTGTACTTTTTATGCGATATGTCATTTAAGGCTTGTTACTGTTTTTCTTATAACATTTATGCTTTAATCTTGGGCAATATTCAGGCCTCCAAAAGTGTTCCATGACGAATAATATACGGGGAGGTATCTCATGTTTTTATTTACATGTGTTCGAATGGTTAAAAGAATATTATGAAAATTTATATTAGGTTTTACATAATCATTTTACTTATTTTGTATGTATAATTGAATATGCACACGTAAATGTAAATGTCCTTTTGAATGTAGTTGATATAAATCAATAAACAGTGTAATTTTCAAAATATTTAAAGAAGTGTGAACTTCGAAACCATTGTAGATGGACGAATGAAGAAGATGATGGGAGGCGCTTCAGGCCTGCTCATTTTCAAATGATTTCGATAGTTTTCCGTCGTTTATTTGAAATTGAAGATGTTGATAACTAACAATTTGTATTTATTGTTATTTCCTGATGTTACATCAGTAAATCAGTGATTTGTTAAATGATACAATTCAAAAACAAAATCAGATTCGTCAACTCGAGTACAATTCCTAGGAATAGGGATGGAGCAGCACCTGTGGCAACAGCGTAGAAGCATCGGCAGCGGTGCTGTCGCGATCTGGCCCGGGAGAATGTCGCAAATGAAAAAAACGACACTTTCTAGTGTAGTAGACAGTTTCTTGGCACCGGAAAAAAAGGCCTAAAATCGGTCTGACCGCCACGTTCCTCCTCGCTGGTTCTAAAACTAATCCCGGCCAACCCAAGCTTCACACCATCTGAGCGTGAACTCCACCGAACGCGGTCCAACCCTCTAACCCTCGCATGCTGTCGAGGCCAAGGTCTATATAAGTACTTATGTAGAACTTGGTCGAGGCTGTAAAGAGTCAGACAAAGGCATCACAGTGAGGTTAACCGAGTTCGCTGTGACGATTTTTTCAAATGGGTTTGAATGATTTCCTAGCGTTTATCAGCCACATATTTTTTCAGTATTAAATAGATAGAAACGACACGTTTTCCTTCATTTGTCTAAAAACAAAATTTATTCCGGTGAATACCACCTTACAACTCATTCCCCTGATAGTTATACAATGCATTAAAAACAACTAAGGATTTAATTTTCTCTCAGCAGATGGATAACATTCTACAATCACTATTTAAAATAGCAAAACAGCCGCAAAGAATCTGACTCAGAATTCAAAGGATTCAAATTTCCATAAAACAATCACAAAAGTATTCGACGTCTCATTCATTTCACATTGCTTCTGCTATTACATTCAAACAGTTATTCCTATACTGGATGTGATTCAAGTGCCTGAATTTACTTTTTCCCTAAGACTAATCCTTATTAACAGTCCTTTGTCCATTTACTTTCCCGGTTGACCTTTTCTCACGTAATTCCTTCGATTTCATGATTTTACGATTATTACGCAGTTTCCCAATAGCAAGCACATGACAGAAGCAATTAGAACTTTCATTCTGAACAACGGAAGGGTAAATTAACTACATTACCTTGGCGCTAAAGGGATTTTTGCAGGAGGAAACCCGAGACGTGCGTGATTTGGAGGCCGACTCGATTTCCCTCCAAACTAATATTCAGATGGATAAGAAAGTAAATGTGAAATAATTGTAGGAATGACATCATGTGAGAATGAAAATCAAATAAAATGCATTGATGTAAGATAAATCAAATCTGATAATTGGGTCATGTAACCTACATTTTTGGCCAATAATTCAAAGTTGCTTTATACTAGATCCCCAGAACATTTTTCCGTTAAAGTTAGAATATATCAAATTCGATGTAATTCAAAATAATCATCCATAAGTAAAAAAGCTCTGCAGAATAAAACTTTTAGGGAAAATTTAATTTCAAGACCTTGATTATATACTGTGACATTAACAAATGAATTTCTGGTATCTTCATTTACTAGAATTATCACGACTTTGCTGTTGGTATAGTTTTAGCATAATTTTTATTATCATTCTCTGTATTTATTGTGATTGTTGTTGTTACACATTCTTTTATGAACATTACTTACCCGTATGATTTTAGACACAGCCTTCCAGGAATTTACTAAAGCCATTCAGATTGCTTTGCGGAAACTTTCTGCCAAAATAGGTATCATGGCCTTTTGCTTACCTAATGATTCCCAACCTTTTTCATTATGTGGCTCCCAACAAATATATAATTATCTGAATAGTGTAATGGTGTCAGTAGCTATAGGACACGAACATTTTATATAAAGATTCCAATTTACTGAGAGGTGAGATCATTTTGTCATAATTTTCATGTTGTTCCATGGCGTCTTAGGAAGTACCCCATGGCCCCTAGGTTTGAAACCCTATGTAACCTATCATTAAAAATGATAAGAAATAGGGTGTACACAACAACATTCATGCGTGTGTGTTTGAGTCTTTAGATGACTTCTTTTTATTTGGAAATCACAGCTATATTTTCAATTGGGAAAAACACAGTATGTAAATCAATTCAAAATGCATATGGACAAATCTGCAGTTATTGGACATATCATTAGAATTAAATCTTAGAAAGTGAACGTATCTATTTACGATACCGAAAGTGGAAGCTGGTCGATTTAGATTGGTTTTAGGTTTGGTAAAGGTGTGAATGTAGCGGGATGAAAAAAAATCACAAAGACTTTTTTTTTTAATCAAGGCAACGTATGATTTTAGAGGGAAAAATGCTATATGAATATTTGAGGAAAATACGTTGCTATTAAATCACTTGTCGCAGTGGTTCATAGGTATTTTTCACGTGCTATCGGTATCATAGGTACTTTTTAAAGGTTAAATGGTTGAATAAAAGGCCAGTGAACTTAGTTGACTGTAATGTCGAACTGAAATCATACCACATATACTTAATGCATCCTTTATGTTAACAAACAATAGACAAATGTCCTTCAAGAATTCTTCCTTCTTTAATCCTTTCTCTTGAAACAAATGAAAGTGACTAAATAAATAAATGATGCCTTTCTGGATTGAAAGAACGATGAAAATAAAAGCTTAATCCATCTGCTGAGTTCCTTACGACCAGTTTTTCTGCTTGGCCTGATCATGCCAGTAGCGAGCTTTTGACAAATTAACTAGGGAGAGAAAGTCAAGAGTCAGTTGACATTTTTGAACTTTCTTTAATACCTGTATAAATCAAATTGTGTCGATTATATAAATCCATATAATCTGGCGTTCATAAAAAACAAAATTTACTTACTACCTATAAGCGATCCACAAATCTCACTGAAGTCGCAGTCATTCAGGTAATCGTAATACTGAGCGAACTCGTCCCAAGTACAACCCAAAGTACTGTTACATCCCGGTAGTTGTATTGGTCTCTCGTTAACGAGAGCACTCACCCAAAAGCTGCACGAGACAAGAGAAGATTTAGGAACAGGGAAAATACTGGGTGAGGGTGGTTCAGGCACTAGGAAATCTGGCTAAGAGCAAATTTTGAGCAAGGGAAATTCAAGATAAAGGAGGTTTAGGGCCAGGAAAACTCAAAATAATATATTAAAGATTAAAGATTTAAAGATTTAGTTTTAATTCCATTTGTTACAATGGACATTCTCTGCTGTGACATACTGTCTGTTTTATTTTGCCCAAATCTCCCCCTGTGTGCACGGAGTGGCCGGGGTTACCACTCAGTGGCCGGGCGTGGGATTGAACGCAGGTCCGCAAGATTGCTAGACTAGCACCTTACCGCTGCGCCAGCACAGCACACAGTAGGGCCCCGAAATTCACGGTATGGAAGATTAAGAGCCTGTAAATTTATAGCAAAGGATCCAAGACATACGCCTTTTAAGGCGAGTTTCAAGAACTAGAAATTCATGAAAGAATAACAATGGTGATACAAATTAGTAATAATAATGATGGTGATAAAATTGACAATAAGAATAATGATGATAGTATTAGTAGCAGTAGTCCAATAATCTAAAACACAGAAAACGAAAAGCCTAATCCAGTGTTTTATTACCTGTCGTCACCACAGGAGGAGAGGAAGAGGGCCAAGTTGCCACCATAACCAGCAAACTCGGTTGTTTTCCATACACGGGAATCTGGGATTCTATTCTCATCGAGGCGCTCCTGTTCACTGAAGATGCCCATTAAGGTAATAAACTGCAACGTGAAATCGAATCGAAATGTGTAACTTAGCTTTGCCGTTAAGTATTCTTCCTTTGATGTATGTAGTGATATAATCAGATTATCAACATGGTAGTTTTTTACTCTAAGAATAATGTATACCAGTAATATCTGTTGCTAGCTTTTGTTGCCTTAAAAATGCAAATATATTATACTATGACCTATAGACATATTTGTTTCGTTTATCAGACATGTAAAGACCAATATCTTAATCAATGTTCAAACACGAATTTAAAAAAATAACTTACCGTTACCAAAGTCTCATAATTGACGATATACTGGGTGAGGTAGGGTTCAGCACTGTTGTTTTTCAATCGATTCCTGAAAGCGATGGTTCTTGGCTTGAAATCGAACGTGTATTCTCAAGTCATGTGCTAGTAAAACAGTTTACGTAAATTTTGCATGTTCGAAAAGGAAAAGCCAGAGTATAAAAAGTAAAGTTTAGAAGAAACAAATATAGCAAGAGCAAAGCAAGACTAGAAGCACTTAAATGAGCGCATACCTCCGCCAAGTTAATAGGTCCTCTGACGCAATACAATTCACGCTTGAAGAATTACTCTTAATATCACCTATCTTGAGTACACTTTTGACTTCCGTAAACATAACCTCCTTGACGGATAATAATAATCTTAACCTCTATTGTTTTGGCAATAGGAGTAACTGATGCAATATATATTTTTTTTAAATCCTGGATCCAGATCATGATCCGGATCACCGCAATTTTTTGTGGAATTAATGTTAGGCAAAAATTCATCTGTTAGAGACTTCTGAGTTATCCTGCCGACCAATGAACAAACTGACTGACCACCGTGACCAAAAACATCCTCTTTGGAGAAGATAAAAAAAAAATTAAAAAAAAACAAGAGTACATGATACAGTACCCGAACAGATCCATCACTTCTTTGCCGAGCTCACAGGCTTGCTTTGAGGTGATCTCGTAGACGGGGCCTTGATCGCTGTACACTCTGAGGTCTTCCCAGTATTCCAGTATCTACCGAAAGACAATATTTTGAATTGCAAAATTTCCGTTTGATGAGCCAAGGCCTGCAATCACGCGCGGGCATGCGTGTTTTGTTTGAGAACGTGTATGGGCATATGCTTAGGTATGCATGCAAGGTGTGCGGGTGTTTATGTATACGTATATGGTTTTTAAATATTTATCTGGGTAATAAAACCTACCTTGAGATCGTCCGGGGTGAAGACACTGCACCAGGGCGACACTTTATCCTTGTACCACGCATAGTAGTACCGACACGTATTGTACATCGAACGAACATCAGCTGGAATGAGAAGGCAGATATCATGATTTTTTTTTCTTTTTTTTTTTTGTAATAAGGGATATTAAAATTATATATAGTATTATATATCAGATTTTTATTGCATTCGTGTTCCTTTCTCTGAAGAACAAAAAGGTAAAGACTGCTTAGACATAAATAAATGTAATTAAAACGAAGGTGACTTTTCAGAAAATACGTACTCACGGATACCGCAAATCCAACGCGCTTCGCCACATTTTCAAGAACCAATTTCATGTAACTCCCTGACATGAAGCCATGGTACGGCTTCAGCTTCTTGTCGAGTTGCATCACTTCCCTAATGTAGTTTGGACAGTGGTCGAAGTACTGATTGGTGGGTAATACACTATAAATTAATACAAGAATGCATTGAAAATGTGTGCTTCCGTGTGTTTGCTTGTGTATGTGTATATCATGTGCCTGTCTATCTATCTATCTGTCCAACTCATTAATTATTTATCTATCTACATATTTCATCATACGACCTTAGTCCCACTAATTTGCGGGCTCAACCCCTCCAGTTCGTCGTCGCACGACTAAACTTCTCGAACGTTTCATTCTCCTCTCCGTCCATTCCTCGCAATTCATTATTTTAAAGATTTCCCCGTCTCTTCCGCTGTCTCCTAATAAACCGCCTTCATCTTAATCCCATAGCGAATGCAATTATATATATAAACGTATTTCTAATGTTTAAAGTACATATATATACAAACACAATAAATATATTTAGTCTATATAGATATATAATTCTCTATCTTATATCTATTATCATATATATACTATAATATATAAATATATATATATAATTATATAAATAATATATACACACACAACACACACACACACACAACACACACACAAACACAC